GATTATGAATATATATTTAATTTGTAAGGATGATGATCTAGGAGAGAGAATGAAACTATAGAAAAGTGTCTATGAGTTAGGTTTTAGAAGACAATTTTATAATTATTTCTGTTTGAGGAATTGAGGACCCCATTAGATTTTACATGTATTGAAGATTATGAAAATATATTTAATTTGTAAGGATGATGATCTGGGAGAGAGAACGAAATTATAGAAAAGTGCCTGTGAGTTAGATTTTAGAAAAATTGGGAGTTTTACTATATTGTATTAAATTGGTGAATTAATTGAGTTTTATATTATTGTTATATTATTGTTATAATGAGTATTCATGGTGAATTGTTTGATGGGTATGTGAATCATTGCATTGTGTGAACTTATCTGTATGTAATATGGAATTTGAAGTTATGAAATGAGATGTGTGAAATGTGAATGAGATGTGATTGTGGATTCTCGTACTGATGACCAGGGGTGAGCACGGCCCTAGGCTGCTAAAAAGGGTAGCATGACCTTGGCACTATGTTATGTCAAGGGTGAGCACGGCCCTAGGCTGCTAAAAATGGTAGCGTGACCTTGGCATAATGTTATGTCAGGGGTGAGCACGGCCCTAGGCTGGAAAAGGGTAACGTGACCTTGACATAGTAAGATTTGTGTGAATTATGAATATGAAAATGATAATGTTAATTGCATGATTTGAGATTAATGGGTGTGATTGCGAATTATGATGTAAAAATGATGCATGTTTGATAGAGTTATGATATATAGAAATGCTTGTAAATATTTCATTATGTAATGAGATTACATTGTTGTGTGTTCGTATGTGCTTTACATATAGATGTTTTCTTTTCTCACCGTACAAATTATGAATATTTTAGGTGAGGAAGATCCGGCTACGAGTGGCATCTAGAATGCCAATAGTTGAATTGTGGGTATGCTCTGATATTGTGACATCGGGACAAAAGATTTTTTTTAGGACATAAATTTTATGTGGATTTGGAATTGTAAATATTATTTTGAAAACAATTTCTAAACTCTTGCATTTCATTTTCTAAATATTTTTATTATTGTGGTTATTGAAGAACAATTTTGAATATTCTTATGTGAACCCTTTTACTGAAATTGGAAAATTTATTTGTAAGTTTTCATTATTACAATATATGTGTTGGGTAGTAAGGGTGTCACAATAATAACGTTGGTAATTTCGTGGGTATTATTGATAATATTTTTAAAAAATCATTTTAAAATTGTATTAAATAATAATTTTGTTTTTATTAAAAACAATATGGTTCAAAATTGGTAAAATTATTATAAATGTTAAGAAATTATCTTTTAATTTTAGACTATCATGCATCAATATCATTTCACTAATTATATATTTCTCAATTTAAATAAAATTAACTATATAATATTAAAATATATTGATAATAAATTATTATTTTATACTATCATTTAATTATAAATTAATATATATAATAGTTGGTATGGTAAATTAAATAGCATGAGAAAATTAGTTAAGTATTTAAGAATTTAATTTGTTAATCTTTTATCATTAAATTTTTTTAAGTTACTGATGAATTTTTTTGCATTTTCTACGAACAACGTTTTAGACAGATAATTTTCCCACAGAAAAAATTTGTGGGTAATATCCATCTGAAATTTCAGACTGAAAAATGTGTAAGTAATATCCGTCAGAATTATTTTTGTTTTAGATGGACACATATTCGTCGGAAAAACCCGTCGTTAATGTCATTTTTCAAACGGATATTTATCCGTAGAAAAGAGTCTGTCGGTAATGAGTGTTTTTTTTGTAGTGATATTTGAGGTATTATGTGTATGAATTGTTAGTTGTGGTGTTGTTCATATGCTATGTGGAATTGTTATTGAATGATATGGGTATGGTGTAAGTTGATATGTTGTGATATAGTTAAGTTGTTAATCTTTTTAAGTTGTTGAATGTGATGTTGAGGTATTATTGTTGTGTTGCTATGTTGTAAGCCAGGATGTTGTGGTGGTTGTGTGGTTTACATGTTAGTTTTGGTATAACATCCCGAATTTTCTACTAATATAATAGTTTAATTATTATTTATTTTTATATTTATTGAGATTATTTTCTTATAGTTTTTTTAATTAATTAAATGGGTTTTATAGAATATTTTAGAGGTTTTTAATAATTATGAGTATTTTAATTAAATAACAAATATTTATGAAGATTATTTGGTATAATATTTATTAGAGAACTATGTATTCTTATGATATTTTGTTATAATAAATATTTGGAGAAAATTATGTGTTTTATTGTAATTATTTATATATTTTATTTTAATTATAATTATGTTGGAAGAAATAGATATATTTTATATAATATATATTTATTAATTATTAAATATTTTATTTTATTATAATTATTTGGATTAGAAGAAATATGTTTATTAGATATATTATTTAATTATAAGTTTTAATATTTGAGGGAAAGAAAAAGATAATCATGGTTAAAATACTTTTACTAAATGATTAAAAAGAGGTTAAGTTTTTAAAAGAGAGAGAGAGAGAGAGAGAGAGAGAGAACAGATCAAATTTTAGGTTTTCACTTTTCACGTACGCACTTCAGAGCTTGGAGAACCTGTTTTGTTTTCTAATTGTTCTGTTGCATTTCTTGTGTGATTCTGAGTGTGAATATGTGTTTAATTTCAAAAATAGACAAGTTTTGATATGAATTAGAGTGCTCTGGGGGTTCCTGTGAGAAACCTTATGAAGTGAAATTAGGGATATGCTCTTTGAATGAATTATGAGGCATTATATATAAAATTGATGATGGATTCGTGTTTTGGGTAACATTTGGAATGTTTTGGCCTATTGAAATATTATATTACTTGGCTAGTTGTAAAAAAATGCTTGAAATCATGAATTTGGGTTTATGACCTTTATACTTCATATGTTATGAATTGCGAATTGAATATGTATGAAGTTGAATAATTTCCTATTATGATTTGTGTTCTATTCTCATGTATATGCCTATGAGAAGTCTCTTGTATAAGACTATGTGAATATGATGAGACAATGTGAAAAGTGAATATGAGACATGATATATAAGTAACTATGACATGTGATTTGATGAGTCAATAAAGTGTGAGTGTGTGACATGCATCATGTGCATCTGTGTGACGGGTATGATGTGGGGTACATCATTAGGGAAACCTCTCCTTGTGTAATAGCTTGGGGGAGTCCTAGGGGATAGTGCGGTTTGAATGTCTTGGTTTTGTCCGTTTGTGAGTACGAGACATAACTTGCCCAGCTTCGCTATCCCAACCAGACCCTAGCAGTACATCCTTCTAGTTGAAAGTGTATGGGTAACTCCCTACATGTACTCCTATACTACCTTAGGTGTGTTGTTTAGGTAACACACCAGTGATATGTGATATGTGACTGGCGCTACATGCATGCATTTGTGAGTTGAGTCCATGGCATCATTGCATAATGAGTGACTGTATGTGCTAATAATGTATGTATGACTTGAGTTGTACTTGATTAATGTGTGTTTTGTGTTGTGCTTTGTTATGATTTGTGTGTGTTACCTATTTGTTATTTTTACACCTTAACCTAAGGGAGATGTTTCTCACTCCTCTGTTTGTTCTATGTGTGTCTTTTATTGTGTTGCAGATGACCATCAACATGAGGATGTTGGTGATGAAGCTTAGGCTTCAGTTGGGCGTGCTCTAATAGGATATATGACATTGGGGCATAGTTAGGACTAGTTTAGGATGTTATTTCCATTGAATTGTTTTGAAAACTTCAAATTTTTCCTTTGTAATTGTTGCATTGAGATATTGTTTATGAGTTTATGAATGTGAATCCTCTACGTAAGATATTTGAGATTATGATTTTATTTATGAAATATTTTAATTATTCTTAATTATTTTGTAATTATGAATGAGGGGTAGAAGGTGTCATAGTACAATTGATTGATTTATAATTGTATTAACTAATTACTGTTGTAACAATAAGATTGAACATGAATGTCAATTTCTATGATTATTAAATTAGAGGTGAATTTCAAACAATGTTGATTTATTTAATTACTCATAAAGTAATAAATGTTAAATTATATGATTGTTGGTTTATGAGTACATTTAAATTCATAAGGAGTATCCAAAGGTATCAGTTAATTTAGTTGGTGCATATTTTGTTGCCTAATAATGTGTCTCAAATTTTGATGATTGTAAGAATCATGAAGTTTCTAAGATCATATTAGTTTTATATTATTGGGAACTTACAAAAAATATTTGTCTAGTGATGCGTATAGTTTTAATTTATTATTGATTAGCTATAGTATCTTTAATTAATTGAAATGAAATATTTTGTTGCTTAAAATCACATAAAGAATTAGACATAATATTGTTATTGATTATACTTAAATATAATAAATTCATCTCACATGAATTATTGTTGTGTATATAATAAATTAGGATAAAATATCAATTATATTTCTTAATTTAACCATAGGGATTAAGAAAATGAGTATAATTTGATAGTTTTGGCATAAGATTATGTGATGAATCAAATTGAGTAAAGCTTTAGCCTGTCGCCACCCGCCAAAACGGACCTTGGCAATCGCGACGAAGTGATAGGGGACCTGTGGTTAAACAGGTCTATGTTAGAAGGCAAAAGGGGGGCAGTTAGTTATTTCTGTAACTAACTAATGACAGTTGGGTAGGGACTGTTAAATTGTATAAATAGGGGGGGAATAAGGGAGAGGAAGTCAGTGGAGAAGTATTGTAATCTGGGAGAGATAGGCACTCTCGAACTGCCTTGTATCACTGTATGGTGTCCTTCTGGTGGTGTTGACCAGCAAGGGTTCAGGAGCAATAATACACAATCTTTCATTTCTTTCTAATCTTTCTTAATACCCAGTTGTGATCTATCAAAAACCAATTCATTTAATGAATGCTAACACATGTGGTATATTATTATATTTCTTATTGTATTTTGTATGTTTCTGAAGGTTGAGGGAGTGAAGCACTCAGGGCCAACCAAATTGGTTCTCTATTTCGCTGGGGCTACCAACATTCTCTACACTTTTGGTGGACATGCTGTTACAGTGTGAGGACTCAAAAGCTAAATCAAATTATTTTAGTTATAATTAAAGGGTTTCTTCTCGTAATACTATATAACATGATGTTTGAGAAATTAAAGAATATTATTGTCCTAGCTTTGTATTGGGATTTATAATTGAGTATATTGTCAGATAAAAAGTTTTATGACTTCATGCGCTATATAGATATGAATCTGACAGACATGTATTGATATATATATATAGATATGTATTGACATACATGTTTTATTTTAAAAATTAACCTGGTTAAAAAAAATACAATTTACAGCGGTTCTAAGCAAAAACTGACTTAGATGTATATGTGCATATCTAAGTCGGTTTTGAATAAAAACCGTCTTAGATGTGTGTATATACATCTAAGTCAGTTTTGATAAAAACCGACTTAGATGTATGTGCACATCTAAGACAGTTTTGTAAAAACCGACTTAGATGTATTTATACATCTAAGTCGGTTTTTACATAACCGACGTAGATATGGCAAAATAACCGACTTAGAATACAATTCTTCTAGTAGTGATAGTGTTTGCTAAACAGGAATCTATAATTTTGCAGGTTGTGAAGAAGGGTGATACTATTTTTATTGGTCAATACCTGTTTACAGGAAGTGAAACAACCTCAGTGTGGCTAGAGGTAATTTAGTCTTGGATGGACTAGTTCTATCTTCTATGCTTGTGCAAATAGATCATTTTAATTATTTTGAAATTATAGGGTTTAGATAGGGAAAGTTTGTCACAGACGAATTTTTACACTATTGGACTACAGGAAAGGTCAACATTGAGCTCCCTACTTTACAAATTGGTCTTGCATGGTCAACATTGATCTTTCATAGTTGCTTGTACTCTATTCATGTTATTACATGTCTCCTTCTGGTTTGTTCAACTATAAATAATCCTAAATGTCATTTTCCTTCAATTATAAGCTGAGGCATTTTCTAAAGTTGAGAGAGGACCCTTATACCTCTGCTTCACTAGTTTGCTTTATTACATTTTTACTCTATCATACATATATATGTTGTATTAGCATATTAAGTTTGTAGTAGCCACAACAACAACAGTAGTCTTAATAGAGTGTTAAAATCTGATTTGATCCAATAGCATTGCAGCAACTGATCCTAATAACCACAAATTGAGAAAACCAAGAACCAATAACCACAAAATATGACTGCATGTGAAAACTGAATTGCACCAATATATGCTATATGTGACACTGGTAATCGATTACAAGAAATGGGTAATCGATTACCAGAGAACCTTTTAATAAGTAAATTTCGAACATATGATTTTCATTGTCTGGTAATCGATTACATGTATAGGTAATCGATTACCAGACTCTTAAAACAATAGTTTCCTCATTAAAGACGCCCAGTTTGTGAGGGATTCAACCCAGTTAGTGACGGATTTTATCCGTCGCAAATTGTGACGGAATTATGGCATCGCAAATTGTGACGGATTCTACTCAATAATAGGCATCACAGTTTGTGACGGATTTTCTTCGTCGCAAATTGTGACGGATTCGTTCATCACAATTTGTGAGGGACTCACATACCTCTCAATCCCTCTCAAATTGCGAGGG